TTTTATAAGCATTTTTTTTTTGACTTGACAAACAGTTGCTTAAGGGTCTTTTCTGGGGAATGTCTTTAGAGAGGGTCCTATCACTGCTGACATTTATCTTTCCTTTACAAAAATACATAGAAAGGAAGAAAAAAAGTATATACCCTATGTGAAATGTGGTGGGAAAATGCAGTCAAGGTTAAAAAAGAAAAAAAAAAAAAGGGATACAGTCAAAGAAACTAGAACAAAACCTCACAACATGAGCTTTGCAAATTTGTCATAATAAACCAATGGATGTTTTGAGTTTGAACTTGTAAAATCATTTTGCTATTAGCAAATACATAACTCACAATAAAACAGAACTCTAATGTAAAACAACATGTGATGGAGGCCCAGACACTATGGCGTTGGCAGTAGGGCACTACTGTGCAATACTGGAACCAAGTAGGAAGGTCCTAGGTTCAGTTCCCAGCTGACTCGGCTGCAGGCAATGCCTGAGGTCCTGGCTGGCCGAAGGGCTAGGAAAGGTCGTCATGTGACAAGACCCTGCTAGGGGTTCTTCTTGGGCTCTCTCCCCACCCCCATGGAATAAATAAATAAACTGACCAAAAACAAAAAAAGTGATGAGCAAGGTATACACTTTGTCTCTCCACACTAAAAGGCACAAGTGTTCTTGGATAACTGCTAGATTTCTGGGGAAATCTACTCAACTATAAGCACAGGGTGCCGTGATATTCTCAGAATCAGGTTCATTTGTTTCACCTGGATGAGCTACTCTGTTCAGTGACACTTGACTACTTGCCCTTAGCTAATAATAGTTTCCAAAGAAAAAGATCTTCATCGAAAAAATAATTCAACCTCTACAAAAGCAATAATATCTTCCAAGCATATCTAGTAAGATGTGTTTTACTTATTTATTCTTTTAAATCTCTGCATACAAAGATTTCATACATTATTTCAAAAGAATAGAATTATTCATCCAGTGGGAAGGAATTTAATAAATATTCATTCATGGAAAAAATACAAGATTTTAAAAAAGAATCAAGTAAATTTGCCTTCCTTGAGTAAAAGAAAAAGAATAAATGAAGGACATTGGGTTAAGAATGCTTAGGGGAAAAAAAAAAAAGAAAGGAACAATTTAATTGGTTGGTTTGACATTTCTCAAAAGTTTGCTTTTGATCACACACACACACACACACACACACACACACACAACCAGGCAAGTAGGGAAACGAGTGAAGAGAGCACACATTATTTGTGTGGCAATGGCGTCATGTCCTCGTAGTGTCGAAAGGGAGAACATCTGAAAGCCCACACACACAGACTAGAAAAGCCAAGCTGACATAAAAAGCAGAATGAGAAAATATAGGGAAATTAGAAACTGTGAGAAAGCAGCAGCACAGCTGTCAGAGAAACAGTGTGACATGAGAGGTCATTGTGCTTGGCCACAGAGAGATACAAGGAAATGCCCATTGGAAAAAGTGTGTTTATTTATTGAGTGTGGGGGGGAAAGACCCTGACAGGATCCCCACAGCGTGTTCACCCCCCCATCTCCACCGGCCTGGATTGCAGGCACACACGTGTCCGCACGCTCAGGCATGTGGGTCTAGTTATGTCACCGCTGCACCATGGCCTGGCCCAGGAAAGGCCAGTTTTGACGGCAGATAACAAACCGTAATAGCAAAGAAGGAATGGGAAAGAGAGAAGTCATATGTCCTTGTGTGACATCGGTCAGAAGGAACACCTTTTGAAACAGTGGACCTCCCATTATTTAAAATCGCATTGTGGTGTCTCAATGACATTACAGAAATGACTCAAAAGTCTCTCTTCCCAAGAAAATACCTGTGGTTCAGTAACAAATAGCACTATTTCCTGTAATGCTAAAGCCAAACGTTGCCATCACCTCAAGGTGCCGATTCCCAAGGTATCCCTAACCTGGTCCCCCCAGCTCTCTCTTCAGCCTCATTTATTGTCATTCTGTTTCACTCTCGTCACTCGAGAATATTGAGAGCATGTAATTCCTGGATATGTCATGCTATTTTAAGGTTCCCTACCCTTCTTCATGGTGTTCCCTGCCTGGAATGCTCTTTTTACATTCATCTCTTTATTCTTTCTCTCTCTCTCTTTAAAAACATATTTATTTATTTAGTTCTGTTTGTTATTATTATGATTTTAATTTGACCAGAGAGAGAAAGGGAAAAAGAGAAAGCAAGATGCCAGGTCTGGGAATCAAACCAAGGTAGGCTATGTGAGAGTCCAGTGCCTTTCACTACCCCGCCACCTGCTGGTGCACTGCCCCTCCCCTTTTTAAAGATAATTATATATTTATTTTATTTTATTTATTATTATTATTTTTTCAAATTTGACCAGAGAGAGAGAAAATGAGAAAGCAAGCTGCCAGGTCTAGGACTCAAACCACAATTGGCCATGTGGGAGTCCAGAGCCTTAACCACTAAGCCACCTGCTGGCCCCACCTCTTTATTCTCTTAAAGCTACTCATTTTTCAAGGTTCAGCTCAGGCATTACCTCTTCCTAAATCTTGCCACACTTATCTTATAGGCTGGGTTGGAGGCCATTGCCAAATACATTATCGCATAAAGTGGTCCGCCTTTTCCATTAGACTGTTTGTTAGATCTTGGAAGAGCTGTTTCCTTCTGCTTCTATCTCTAACACCTAATAGTATGTGACATGTAACTGGATACCAAGAGTGTGTCTAGTTAGTTAATTAACTGACTTCTCAATACTTATATAAATATGTATAGGTGACTAATGCATAAAACAACACACTCGATGGGTCCGGCAGATGGCGTGGTGGTTAAGGGCGCTAGACTCCCATATGCCCGTAGTTCAAGTCCTGGACCTGGTGGCTTTCTTTCTTTCTCTGTTTCTCTCTGGTCAAATTAAAATAAATAAATAAAGTTTAAAAAAAAAAAACTCCAAAAACAAAAAAAACCACCATGCTTGCATGTCCTAATCCTCTTTCGAGGGTGCTGGTACTTGGTATATTTAAAGATCAATGGAAATGGCCATGTCTAGACTGTCCAAAGAAGAATAAAAAATTCTAAGTGTAATTCTCTACCAGAAACATGATCCATCTTACAAGTAGGCCTGTGGACCAGTTCTAGGAAAACATAGTAGACCACAGTGTCTTCTCAGTTTACCTCACTACACTGATTTTCTTCGCAGAACATGGAAGAAAGTTTATTTAAAATGAAAATACTGGGAAACAAGAAACAGAATTACGTAGACATGTATAAACAGGTCAAAGGATGCCAAAACTGACAAGAGACCGTGTGGGTTTGGCACAAAAGCAGAGAGAGACCATGTTTCTGAAGGACAATAAATGTGATCAACGGGGTTAGGAAAAAAAAAAGATGACTTGGGAAGAAAAAACTAGAAGCCATTAAATTAGAAATTTCATTTGTTCAGACTATTATTAATTTTTTTTCTTTGAGAACACAAGTTCCTAACCCAATAACTGGCTCTATTGAACACCCACAGCGCAGGAGGCTTTGTTCAGCTAAGTCTGACAAAACACCAGCACGAATCAGTGAGAAGGGCAGCCAGAGGAGCACTACACCAACACGAGTCAGGCTTACTTTCACTCTCCTCTCCAGGGGTTAGAACAGTCAAAGTGTTATGTCTAATAAATTGAAACCTGTCGTATGCCTGCTAGGAGCAAAAGAACCACATAAGACATGCCAAAACTACTGGCCCACTGCTTTGTTTTCTGAAGCATTTGCAAACACATCCAATCTAAACAGATTTTTTTTTTTTTAAATCAGTCATTGGGGCTGGCAGGTAGCATGGTGGCTAAAATGCTGGACTCCCACAAGGCTGACTATGGTTCAAGTTCCAGATCTGGTGGCTTAAAACTCACACTGGGCATGTGTGTGTGCGTGCCCAAAAGCCCAAGAGGAGAATGGAGTGAAAGAGATTGCAGCATGGCCATCACTCCCACCCCCATCCTGCCCCTCTAGGGTGATTGCTCATTTTGTGTCTCTCTGGTGAGCACATACACCCTATAGTAAAAATCTCTCCCTCCCCCCCAGAAAAATCAGTCATTATTAATTTAAAAAGAGCACAAATGTAATCGCCTTATAATCTTGCTCTTATTGTTCATTGCTCTTAAACAATCCTTAACCTAACAATGCCTCATTCTGGCCATCTGATCAATATCCTGTAAATAGAAACCGCTCTCAATTCCTGTAGCAGGTGAACAGCTTCATAGAAGACTACCTCAGGAACCATACAGAGACCTACATAGGGACCACATGGTGGGCAGCAGGAACGCATGGCACTATGTGAGGCTGACCCACATGAGAAGGGTCCCGTTCGCTTCCTGGCCCACATGAGGAGGGTCTGGCTCACTTCCTGGGACCTCCCTGAGGATTCTGGACACATGTGTGCCCATGATTCAGGGCGACCTGAGGCTGGGGGTGCACTGTGGGAGCACGACCCTGCTGGGATGCCCCTCTCTCTTCCTTTCTCCCCTCCTCTCTCAGAATAATAAACTTAAAAAAAAAAAAAAAAAAAAAAAAAAACAACTAGGACCAGCAGTTGTCATAATGACTATCTCGCTGGAATCCCATGTAGTTGACCATGGTTCGAGTCCCGGACCCGGTGGCTTAAACTCACGCCAGGCGCGTGTGCACGTGTGCCCAAGATCCCAAGAGGCGAATGGAGAAGGGATTGTGGTGTGACCATCCCCCCGGGGGGTGACTTCTCGCTTTCTGTCTCTGTCTCTCTCTGTCCTTCTGGTGAGCGAACGCGCCCTACAGCAAAAACCTCTCAAGAAATAAAAAATAAAAAACACCTACACAAGTGAAAGGTCTGCTGGGGCTAAAGTCCACATTGACAATGAAATTTTGAGGAAGAACTATGAAATTAAGAGCCAAGAGCTAAAAGAGTGCTTAAATTCTAATCTGTGTGGGAATTCTCTCAACCTGTTTTTGTGTCACTCACAGAAATAACTGAACCTGTGTGATTTTATAAAGACAGAGGCTTATTTACAAACTCACAATTCTGGTAGGAAGAGTCCAGAAGCCTCAGCTTACAGCACGGCTCACAGAAACAGAAGCCGACAACTGTGTGCGGAGAGTGAGCGCCGTGTTCTTCCTCTCTCTTTTATAGTAACCAGCTCTCACGAGAACTAACCTCTTCTCGTGAGATCTAAAATTCTCTAGGTCTCGCGATAATTCAATAATCTTTCCGCAAGAGGGTTGCGTGTGTGTCGCGGTCACCAGGATCTGATCCCCATTCACTAAGCCTCACTGCCTCTCAAGATCAAATGCAAAACATGTAACTTTAGGGGACAAACTTTGATCCCAACCATAACAGAGATATCATAACAAGTCATGACAGTCTAACACACTTTTTTTTTTGACTGTAGAGACTCACGTGCTTGCTGGAGAGAGAGAGAGAATGAGAAATGATCCCCCAGGGCAAATGGTCATATTTGCTGTTCTTTCTCCTCTTGGGATTTTGGACGTACACATATAGGTTCCCAGCATAATTTTTAAGCTACTAGGCCTTGGGCTCAAACTACTCAGTCAGCCATGTGGGATCCAGCAGCCTTAACCTCCACATCACCTGCAGACCCCGAATTCCAACACACTTTACTATTCTTTAGAATCACTGTGCATATGATAGTTCACCATAATCTAGGGTTTAACTCTTTAATCTAAAGCTTAATGGGGTCTGAGCACCTATTGTATACCAAGAATAGACTAGACAACAAAGGACTGGCCCTCTGGGGACTCACACCCAGGAGTGGAAACAGACAGGTAACTACTTTCAAAACTGAGGGGCCAATTTGTTGATAAAAATGCAGGGTGGGGGCAGCAGGTGGTTTAGTGCTTAAGGTACTAGACTCCCACGTGGCTGACAGCAGTTCAAGTCCCAGACCCAACAGCTTGAAACTCATGCCAGGCACTTGTGCATGTGCAAAATCCTGAGAGGAGAATGGAGGAGATGGGATTGTGGCATGGCTGTTCTCCCTGGGGGTTGATTTCTCACTTTCTGTTTTTATGTCTCTCTGTCTCTCCAGCAAGCACACACACCCTATGGCAAAAATCTCAATAACCACAACAAAAGTATTGGTCAAGAGAGCTGGTCTTTCCCAACTGGCCTTCTGCAGAGTCTGATAACTGAAGAATGACTTCAGTTAGAAAAGAAGATTAAGCATTTCTAGAAGTGAGAACAAATGCTTTATGCACAAACTAGGTTATAAACTCATTGAGAACAGAAATGATCTTACTGCTTTTTTATATAATTCATATTGTAGAGTAAATTTCTAGTCATTATAATCTTGATTGATGGCCTAGGGTAGTTTTACTTCGTTAAGCTTAGGGATTTGGAACTTGAGAAACTGGAGAAATCAAATCAAAGAGATATAAATAGGACAATAAGAAGTGAAACTTTCCCAGAGGTAAACATAGTTATTAATATCTCTTTTTTTTTTTTTTTTTGAGGGGTTTTTGCTATAGGGCACGTGCGCTTGCCAAAAAGACAGAGAGACAAAGAGACAGAAATCACCCTGAGAAATCACCCCCTAGGGGGGATGGCCATGCCACAATCCCTTCCCCTTCATTCTCCTCTAGGGATCTTGGGCACACATGCACACGCGCCTGGCGTGAGTTTAAGCCACCGGGTCCAGGACTCAAACACTGTCAACTACATGGAATCCAGCGACATAGCCATTACACTAACTGCTGGTCCCAGTCATTAATGTCTCTTGATAAAAATAATCAGTCAGAGGGAACCACAGAAATAATTGACAGAAATAATTATGAAGCAGAATTACTTCTAATTTGATTCATGCGGCTTGTTACGGCCATTGATGAGTACGGTGACGGGTGTCTGGTCTCACCATGCCATGGTGAGGGAGGGCGTTCTCAGAAGGGACCAGCAGTTAACATAATGGCTATGTCGCTGGACTCCCACGTAGCCGACCACGGTTCAAGTCCTGGACCCGGCGGCTTAAACTCACGCCGGGCACGTGTACGTACGTATGTGCCCAAGATCCCAAGAGGAGAATGAAGAGGAGAATGCAGGAGAAGGGGTTGCGGCATGGCCATGCCCACTGGGGGGTGATTTCTTGCTTTCTATCTTTCTTTCTGGCAAGCGCACGCACCCTATAGCAAAAAACCTCTCCAAAAAGAAAAAAAATCTCTCAGAAGATTCTGGCTTGTACTCAGCTCTAACAGAAAGAAATACAGGTTTAAAAAAATTTCGACCTTGAGTACAACAGAGTGCTTTGGGGTTTATAGTTGAAGAAAAGCATAAAAAAAGAAAAAGAAAAAATGAAAGAGATATGGAAGTGAAGGGAAAAGGAGAGAGAAAGAAGGAGAAGGAAAAAAAGGGAATATTCTGGAAAATATTAAAGAGCCATTGATATTTCATCACCAGGAGCCAGGCTATCACCAAAATTCCAGGCCAGAAAAATCTCTGTGCCTCATCATCACCAGTCACCAAATATTTGGGTAACGCTGGACTCCCACGTAGCCGACCACGGTTCAAGTCCTGGACCCGGCGGCTTAAACTCACGCCGGGCACGTGTACGTACGTATGTGCCCAAGATCCCAAGAGGAGAATGAAGAGGAGAATGCAGGAGAAGGGGTTGCGGCATGGCCATGCCCACTGGGGGGTGATTTCTTGCTTTCTATCTTTCTTTCTGGCAAGCGCACGCACCCTATAGCAAAAAACCTCTCCAAAAAGAAAAAAAATCTCTCAGAAGATTCTGGCTTGTACTCAGCTCTAACAGAAAGAAATACAGGTTTAAAAAAATTTCGACCTTGAGTACAACAGAGTGCTTTGGGGTTTATAGTTGAAGAAAAGCATAAAAAAAGAAAAAGAAAAAATGAAAGAGATATGGAAGTGAAGGGAAAAGGAGAGAGAAAGAAGGAGAAGGAAAAAAAGGGAATATTCTGGAAAATATTAAAGAGCCATTGATATTTCATCACCAGGAGCCAGGCTATCACCAAAATTCCAGGCCAGAAAAATCTCTGTGCCTCATCATCACCAGTCACCAAATATTTGGGTAAGAACTGTGTGTCAAAATGCACCTTAGCCTCCTGTGATGAATAATCTGAGATGTGTGTTTGTTTTGACCTTCTGGATTAGGATGCAGATAAGCTTCCTCAACGTGTTTCTCAGCTGCTCTTCAGCACTTGCAGTCACCTTGACCTCAGCCCCAGCATCTTCGCAGGTGAGCAGGAAGGAGCCAGCAGAGGAGCTGTCTCTGGGCACCTCTGGGAGCTGAGAAAATGCTTAGGCTTCCAGTAATGCTGGGATAAGCCAGAGCTGGAACTTGCGTGTAACTTACTGCCTTGTAGTACCTGCCAGGGGAGCAATTTTTAGCACCCAGTGATAAGAAGCGATAATGGAGGGTGGGGTTCTGTCTGGAGGGCTCCTACTGGGCTAGGGGAGGAGGAGAGCTGGGAGCTGGGATTGGATTTTTCCTGGGTAGTGAAGAGCTAAGTCCTCCTGGGCCTCCCAAGCTCCTGCCACCTGAGTTTTCTCCTTTCCAGACCTGGACACGGTAGCAAGAGCCACCCATGCCCTGTGTGTGTATATGTGTGTGCATGCTGTACCCAAGATCCCAGCTCCGGCTTGGTCCACCATCACTGGAGAGCCGGAGCATTTTTACACACACACCACACACCCACACACACACACACACACACACCAGTGGGTTCAATTGTGTTCTCAAAAAGATATATTGCAATCCTAAACCCAAATTCCTATGAACATGAGTGTATTTGGAAATAGGATCTTTTCGGATATAAGCCAGGTGAGGTCATATGGAGTTTAGTGGGCCTTTAGCTGACTGTTATCTTTTTGTTTTTAAATTTTATAATTTTAGTTTTTAGATTTTTGCCATGTAGCAAATGCACTTGCCTGAGAGAGACAGAAAGAGGGAAAGTAAGAAATCCCCCCCCCAGAGGAATGGCCATACCATGATCCCTTCTCCTCCATTCTCCTCTCGGGATTTTGGGCATGCGTGCGTTCTCTCTCTCTCTCTCTCTCTCTCTCACACACACACACACACACACACACTCTCGCACACACGCCTGGTGTCATTTTCAAGTCACCAGGACTAGTGCTTGAACCAGAGTCGGCCTGTGGGACGCAGCGCATTAACCACCACACCACCTGGTGTTCTTTTTGTACATACTTAAATTCAGGAGCATGGGCATTGTTTATCTTGCTGACTACGCCACCTCCAGAAGAGGGAAAGGGCAGAGGAGACACAGAAATAGGCTCACGGAGCCAACACCATGTGGTGACCGAGGCGGAGACTGGAGGGATGCAGCTGAAGGTCAGGGAACACTGAGCCCTGCCAGGACCCCAGACGTCAGGAGGAGGAAAAGAAGGGTCCTCTCTCATGGCCCGGCCAACACTGGTTTGGACTTCTGGCCTCCAGAACTGTGAGACGAGGAGGTTGAATATGTTTTTTTCTAACTTAAATGAAGGAGCGAGCGCGTTGTTTATCTTGCGGACTACTCCAACTCCCAAAGGTGGAAAGCCTGTCACAGAGGGAAACTCCGACCTTAGATGAATGGTGCTTGCTTCATTTCATGCTGTTTCCCTGTGGCCCCATTTACAGGCTCGAACTGAAGAAGTAAACGGGGCCACGGCGTGTTCCAGCTGGCCGACATGCTAGATCTCACTGAAATGCTCTAGCAACACGACTCTGGAACTAGATCCCAACCTGGCAGCAGCTTTCTGGTAACTAAGGCAAGTGGCAGAAATGAACAGCTGCGCCCTGACTCCGAGGCCGGGGGTGCCCAGCAGGTGCCATTTCAACACAGGTTACCAGGAATGCGCTGTCGTGAGGGCCATGGGATCCCAGACACTGTGGCACTTGGGGATCCCACCTGGCCATGTGTCTTCAGTGACATCTCTGTTTATACCACCAAAGTGTAACCAATGGATTTCCCTCAGACCATCACCTCTGCTCCTTTTTTTTTAAAAAAAAAGTAAATTAATTAATTCATTATTTTTTGGTAGAGACTTTGCTATAGGGTGTGTGTGCTTGCCAGAGGGACAGAAAGCAAGAAATCACCCCCCGGGGGATGGCCATGCTGCAATCCCTTCTTCTCCATTCTCCTCTCATAA